AATTTAATTAATTCCTGTCCTGTGACTGCTAAGGGAGGACCTACCCATAAGTAATGCTGCCATGAGAAATAACCAGGAAAAGAAAATTACGGTAAGTTTGTCATAAATTTTCACTAATTCTCTTTGCCCAGGTGAGAATCCGCAACAGCATTAAATCTAAAGTAAATAAGTATTTGTGCCTATTTATGTAATGAAAGTTCCACAGATTCTCCTTTAAAATTGCCTTATATTCACAAGAAGATGACATTTGTAATTTGATAAGTTGATCCCCACATGGGCAAATTAATTAATTAAAGAAAGCTTTGAAGAAAAGTCGACATGCATGTATAGCACAGTGGATTAGCAGTCCATCACCTTAACCACTCGGCCACCTTGCTTTGCTGCTTTTAGGGGTTAGACGCGGTCCGTGCTACACGCGGTCACCGTGAGATCCGTTGAATGTAGATCAGCTCAGCGAATGGCTCATGTTCAAATTTTAGAAATCTACAGCTTGAAAGAAGAGCAGAAATTGCAGAGATCATTTCTGAATGCTTTTCGTGGATCTTATAGTTAAACTCTTAGAAATAAGAGATGTAGTAAATTATACATTAAACAAGGATGTTGAAAGCTTTGCTACACTTGATGCACTCCAATGCTAGAAATGTGTACTTAGCGCTTCTTAAGTAGCATGGAATGCATGAATTCCCTTTAGATTTTGTCTTCAGGTGTGTGGAGAATAGGTCTGCTATCGTTTACTGGACTTCTTCTAAAGGATTGTGTTTTGTAGTCTAGTTTGTGTTAGTTCTACAAATAAGATTCAGGATGCTAATAATGTGAAATTTTGCTTGATTGTTGTAATTGTTGCAAGACGTCAGCCTTGACATTTTTAGTACCCGGTCTATAAGTGATAAGATAATCGCTTTGCATCTCCTATGTAAGCCAGGTTTTTATGATCAGTAATGATTCAAAGGGGGTCCTTGGAACCCTCTAAAAGATGTCGCCACTCCTTGAGAGCTAGAATAATGACCAACAATTCTCTATTGCCAATATTGTAATTGTGCTCAGCAGGAGACAACTTTCTAGAAAAGTAACCACAAGAATGTAAAAGAGTTTTCTGGCTGTCGCTCAGGGAGAGAACTGCCCCTACCCTTGTCTCTGAAGCATCAACCTCCAGTATGAAAGGCTTACTGGTGTCAGTATGTATCAATATGTCGGCTGAGGCAAACCGCTGTTTGAGCGTTTCAAAGGCTTCAATAGCCTCCTTAGACTATATCGTACTTCTAGTCTCCTTGGTGATGGGGGCTATTACTGAAGAAAATCCCTTTATAAGTCTTCTGTAATAATTGGCAAAACCAATGGACCTTCCAATGGCTTTCAACCCAGTGGGTAAAGGCCACTGTAGAACAGACTCTATTTTTTTAGGATCCATCTGAAACCCCAAGGCAGAAATATTACATTCTAAAAACTGTACTTCAGACTGGTCAAAGATACACTTTTCCAATTTACAATAAAGTTGTTTTTTTAACAAGGTTTGCAGAACATTTAATGTTATCATGGTGAGACTGGAGGTCAGGAGAATAAATAAGGATATCATCCAGATAGACCAAAACAAACGAGTAAATGTACATCATTAATGAAATCTTGGAAAACCGCTGGAGCGTTGCACAACCCGAATTGCATCACTAGATATTCATAGTGTCCACTTCTGGTATTAAATGCAGTCTTCCACACTTGGTTTTCCTTGATTCTCACTAAATTGTACGTGCTTTTAAGGTCAAGCTTAGTAAACACTTTAGCGCCCTGGAGTCTGTCAAATAATTCAGCAATAAGAGGAATGTGGTAGGCGTTCTTTATGGTGATTTTGTTCAATGCCCTGTAATCGATACATGGGCGCAACTCACCATCCTTTTTAGATACAAAAAAGAATCCTGCACCAGCAGGGGAGGATGATTTTCGTATATGGCCTTTATTCAAATATTCCTCCATTACACTACTCTCCTGAGGAGATAGAGCATAGACTGCTCCCTTAGGTGGCATAGCGCCAGGTAGTAAGTTAATGGAACAGTCATATGGTCTGTGAGAAGGTAGAGTATTAGACTGAGTCTTGCTGAATACTTCTTTAATGTCTCGGTATTGTATTGAGATCTCTGGATTTTGAGGTGTACTAGTGGGTAATTCAATAGTGCCCACTCTATTGGTGACATGCAATATACACCTTTCATTACACTCCTTACCCCATCCAAATATTTCCCCATTAGCCCAGTCAATGTAAGGGTTATGCTTGCTAAGCCATGGAAATCTTAATATGATAGGACAAGAAGGAGATGCAATCACCTGAAATGTAATCTCTTCTTTATGTCAGGCACCAATGGAAATATTAATGGGTAAGGTTTCATGCGTTATCAATGGTTATGAGAGTGGTCTCCCATCAATACCTTCAACAGCTAGGGGTGATAGTCTCTCCTTGATAGGTATAGTATTACTCTTGATAAATTGAACGTCAATGAAGTTTCCAGCAGCACCTGAATCCATCAGGGCTTTGCATGAAAAGTAAATTTTGTCAAAGGCGACAGAAATATCAAGGAGAAATCTATTTTTATTCTTTCTAGAGGACGTCTCCATTTCACCTAAGACCTGTCCCCTTAAGGTGCTTAGGTGCAGTAGTTTTCTGGACGTATGGGACAATTGTTTCTCATATGTCCCTTTCTACCACAGTATAAACATAGGCCTTCTCTTCTCCTATATTGTCTTTCTGCCTCCGACAGTCTAGTGACCCCCAACTGCATGGGTTCGGGTTTGGACTGTACAGGAATTTCAGAGACAATAGGTCTGGAGAAACGGGAAGCTAAAGGCATAGTCATGCTTCTGGTCTTGTTTCTAGTAGCCTCTCTGGTTCTAAATGTATTATCAATCTGCATGACAAAAGTGATTAATTCATTAAGCTTTTTGGGTAAGTCTTTGGCGACAATCTCATCTAGCATAGTTTCAGATAGTCCCTTTTTAAATGCAGAGCTGAACCCACTATTAGTCCAGTCTACCTCGGAAGCTAGGGTACAAAATTCTATGACATATTCCGAGATAGACCTGTTCCCTTGTCTGATATGCATCAGGGCAGTAGAGGCATCATCCTTTCTGCCTAATGGTTCAAACATAAGTTTGAATTCCATAAGGAACTCCTGGTAATTGTGTGCCACACTCCTATTACTCTCCCAAAATGGATTGGCCCAAGCTAAAACCTATACCCTATTAAGCATCTGTGGGACATCCTCAAACGGAAGGAGGGGGAGCGCAAGGTCTCTAACATTCACCAGCTCCATGATGTTGTCATCGAGGAGTGAAAGAGGACTTCAGTGTCAACCTGTTGAGCTCTGGTGAACTCCATACCCATGAGTGTTAGGGCAGTGATGGAAAATAATGGTGGCCACACAAAATATTGACAGATTGGGCCCAATTTGGACATTTTCACTTAGAGGTGTACTCACTTTTATTGACAAATGTTTAGAAATGAATATCTGTGTGTTGAGTTATTTTGAGGGGACAGCAAATTTACACTGTTATACAGGCTGTACACATGTTGTCACTTGAAAAGATATAATAAAATATTTACAAAAATGTGAGGCATGTACTCACTTTTGTGAGATACTGTAAATATTGGAAACACCTCAGAGTGCACCTTTCTTCATTGGATTATATATGGAGTATATATAATCCAATGAAGAAAGGTGCACTCTGAGGTCTTTCTAATGTGTTTTTATTATAAGATACAAATTCTGTCTATCCCGATTGACGTTTCGAGATCAATATTAACAGTGTAATCAATATAGCTAAATAGAAAAAGTGAAAATTAACTTACCAATCCTGTGTATGAGCAGCCCGATTCCTGTCCGAACCCGAAGTGCGCAAGCGGGACACTTGATGTACATAATTTTTCTAAGTGAATGAACATAAACAAACTTGTGATTCCCCCGAGTCAGTGTAAGTGAGACTACAAGAACCTTTTATGGACAATTGAATATACTGTGGAAAATACAGATCATATATAAGGATCTGCAGGGATGATCCACATAGATGTGATCAAACAGTGATGAAACTAAGTGCAAAGGAAATAGTAGATAAAAATATATGAAAAATGTGACAAAGTGTAGTGACTAAGTGTGGTGCCCGAACTCCTACAGATCCAAAACTAAATTCAGGCAGTATAATACACCAAAATGTGTGTATACACAAGTCAGCTAAATAAACTCATCTAAATAATGAGTAAAGGAAATATACAACAGATCGGAATGGTAGAACATATTTTGTATCACATAAGCATTATGAATTCTATTAACATGTGTACTAACTTCTATTAAGTTGGAATATAAAGTATAATGATATATACAGATAGATTCAATTCCACATTCTATACATGGGGACTCTAGAGGATAAGCAAGATGACCAAAAATAAATATGCAAGATACAAAAACTATATAAAAAATATATGAAAATAATATGAAAAAAATAAAACAATATAAAAAAAATATAAAAAATATATGTGACAAAAAAATGAACAAATTTGAAAAATTCTGAGTGTGCAAAAAAAATTAAAAATATAAAAATTGTACATATAAGATTTTTTTATATAAATATGTGGAGCATTTTAAAAACCACCATATGCTCCCTGTATAATATTAATTAACCATACTTTAAAGAAACATAGAATATGTGACACATTTGTTATTTCCGGTCTAGTGCAGACAAATAGTGAAGTTTAACCCTTTCACAACCACAACTACGTCACGCACACTCTTGGAGTAGGGTGCGTTCGTGACAAATTGGTGGCATAGCGGTGGGATAACTAAAAAGATTTTTCATCTTTTTGTACCAGATTTTAGTGTTGCTGGATTTGTTGGTTAATCCAGGCACTAAAAGAAATTGTGTCTCAATTTCCAAAGGCTGAACTCAGTGCATATATAATATATTTACACCTCAACAGTCCCCCCCCCTTCTCTGTTTTTTCTTTGCTATCTTTTATTTACTAAATGGAGTACCAGACGCAATCCAAGGCAGCGCTAGACCAGCTTTGCCGGGAGAGATCTATTCCCTGTCGGGGAAAAACAAAAGAGGAACTATTGCAAGCACTGGTGGACTATGATATGCAACAAGCAGTGCAAAATGATGCCTCAAACACTGCAGGGGAGATACCTGCAGCTTTTGTCCGTGATGTACCGAGTTCTGGAGATCCTTTGGATTGTTACTTACAAACTGTGTTGAAATATGTGGACTCAGCAGACGCAAACCAAAGACTACAGCTTATCCTTCAATATCAGGAGACTGCAGAGCGGCAGGCTGAGAGAGAGGCTGCGGAGCGACAAGCTGCCAGAGAGCATGAGCTAAAAATGGCTGAGTTGGAGAGGTTGACTGCCTCCCCGGTAAGTATTAATTCCAGAGACTCTTCTGCACCCAAACCACGTGCAGAGAATTTTCCAACTTTGGACAAAGATGGTGATTTGGATGTTTTCCTGCGCAGTTTTGAAAAAGTTTGCAGGCAGTACCAGCTACCAAAGGACCAGTGGGCAAAATACCTCACCCCTGGTCTCAGAGGTCCTGCACTGGAAGCATTTGCTGTGCTTCCAGCAGAGTTTGACCAGGACTATGATGCGATTAAGGCTGCCTTGCAAAAACGGTACAACCTTACTCCTGAGGTGTACCGAAAGAAATTCAGGACTTTGCAAAAGCATCCCACAGAAAGTTATGCAGCAGTTGTGGGGCACCTGGCGACAGCATTCTGACAGTGGACTACAGGGCTGGAGATTACCACTTTGGAAAGTTTGCAAGACCTGTTAATAAAAGAACAGTTTTTGCAGCTCTGCCCAGCCGATGTACAGGAATGGCTGCTGGACCGGAACCCCAAAACAGCATTGGAAGCTGGTAAGCTGGCAGATGTCCACACTGCCAACCGAGCAACAGTGGACCGGAGCAGAGGGTTTGCCAAGGGAGCATCCAGCTGGAGGACCACTCCACCATGACTCCCCATCACCAGGCCTAGCGGGCCATCTTTTGTTTCAGCTCCTACCTCAGGGAGAGGGGGAACTAGTGCCACTTCTGCGCAAGGAGATAGTCACAGATGTTTTATTTGCAACCAAGTGGGGCACATTAGTGTTGCTTGCCCTGGGAAACGGCAGCCAGCATCATCAGCTGGGGAGGGACGCTCCTCAGAACCAACGTCCTCTGTGTTGTTTGTAACCAGATCAGAAGGCGGCAACAATGTGAATCTGCAACCTGTAACAGTTGGAAGAGAGGTAACTGTGGGACTCAGGGACACTGGGGCAGATGTGACTCTTGTGCGTCCAGAGCTAGTGCACTCTGAGGACTTAATTCCTGGCAGGACACTAGCAGTTAAAGGAATTGGGGGAATACGGCTTGTAGTGCCAATGGCACGAGTTTATTTGGATTGGGGAGCGGGGAAGGGTTTCAGAAATGTGGGGGTAGATGAGAATATCCCTGCAAATGTATGACTTGGTACTGACTTAGGTAGATTGTTATCCCAGTATGTGCCTGAAAGTAATGTGTGTTATAAACCCAAGCCTCATAGGGGCCCTACTGTGCAGTGGGCAGTATCTGAAAATGTATGCAGACAATTGTGCTGGGAGGGAGGGCAGAATAAGCATGTGTGCGGGTCTGTGCCTGAACCAGAGGTGTCTGCAATATCATGTGAGAGTGTGCCAAGACAAAGTTGCTGGGAGGGAGGGCAGACTGAGCATGGGTGCCAGGCTGTGCCAAAACCAGAATTGTCTGTGGTATCAGGTGAAAGTTTACCAGGGCAACTTCACTGGGAGGGAGGGCAGAATGTGTGTCAATCTGTGCCAGAACCAGGGGTGTCCGTGGAAACTTGTTAAAATGTATGCAGACAGTTGTGCTGGGAGGGAGGGCAGACTGAGCATGTGTGCGGGTCTGTGCCTGAACCAGAAGTGTCTGCAATATCATGTGAGAATGTGCCAAGACAAAGTTGCTGGGAGGGAGGGCAGAATGAGCATGCGTGCCAGGCTGTGCCAAAACCAGACTTGTCTGTGGTACAAGGTGAAAGTTTGCCAGGGCAATTTCGCTAGCAGGAAGAGCAGAATGTGTGTCAATCTGTGCCAGAACCAAGGGTGTCCGTGGAAACATGTGAAGGTGTATGCCAGCAATTGTGCTGGGAGAGAGGGCAGATTGAGCATGTGGGCGTGTCTGTGCCAGAACTAGGGGTGCCTGCAATACCATGTGTGAGTGGGCAAAAACAACTGCACGGGGAGGCAGGGCTGGATGAGCGTGTGTGCCTATCTGTGGCGAATTTCAATTTCAAATGTAACGTGCTATATTTGACCCTGTAACTTCCCAAAACGCCATAAAACCTGTACATAGGGGGTACTGTTTTACACGTGAGACTTTGCTGAATACAAATATGTGTATTTTATTGCAGTAAAAGCAAACAGTATTATGACATTGACAGTTAAAATGTCATGTAGAACTAAAAAAATAAAAACAAATCTTATTTTCTCCCATATTTTTCATATTAAATTATGTTTCATAGCTAAATATTTGATATTAAATGAAAGCCCTGTTTCCCCTGAATAAAATGATATATAATAAGGGTGGGTGCATTTAATATGAAAGAGGTGAATTACGGTTGGACAGACATGTAGCACAAATGCCAGGTTTTGTTTACATTTTGTTTCGTTCACAATGTGCATTTGGCTCCGTCCTTAAGGGGTTAAAAGCTCTTTCAGTCTTCAACAATGATGAGTTATCTGTATGAATGAACATGAGCTTGTATATAGCTAGTGGGCAATACTGGCTAGATGGCGGCATCTACTGGTTATATTGAAAATTACAGCATGTTTAAGTCTGTCTTTCTGATACGTCTATGAGAGGAATATATCCATTCAAGTGTTTTTAATTTAGCAGTCCTCATGTCACTCTTATTCAGAAGGAATGTTAGTAATAATGCAAACAGAGTTCAATTATAAAACACGGTATGTAGAAAAGAACTAGTTTGGTACTAGAAAAGAGAGAACACTCATTTTGAGAAAGGATCCCAGGTTTAGAAAGACCTAGAATCAAGTCTCAAAACAGATTACCCATATGTGGGATCCATACAAACAGTATGGAACACCAGAAACATATTACATAAATAAATAAATCTTTATTGGCAAAACATATATACAGAAAAATAAATAACTGAAAAATAATCAGTGAAATACTCAGTGACTGTGTCAAGTGCATATAAAAAGCCTGCCAGCTTTCTTATATGGAGATAAATGCAACTAGGTATAGTTCCACTTATATGACTTCTATAAATTCAAGTCAATAGATACAATATTTTAAAAAGAGCGAGAGTTCATTCATTTAGTTTCTGTTTGGAATGAATTGTTTCAAACAGAGTTGTTTAGAAGGTAGTCATGAAGCTAGCCGTATATAAACACTTTTCAAAGCTTCTATCTAGGGTAAGAGCATATAAGAGGCAGAGATAAGGAAAAAATTTCAAGATTTAGACAAATGAGAAGAGAATTCTTAGAGTGGTGTTTAAAAATAAATAAAATTGGGTAAATCAGTAGTGTTAATGAAAGGAATAGGAGGGTAGAGACTCCTCATAGAAATCCACGCCCACCTTATCAAAAAAACACCCCCGCCCCCCCCACTATTTTGTATTATTCTGATTAGTAGCCACTATTAATATTGGCTATGAGCATAATAGTACACAACAAGTGTTTAGTACACAAAAGATGGTAATAGTTAGAGAAAGTATCTGGGATTATATAAATTCAAGTCAATAGATACAATATTTTAAAAAGAGCGAGAGTTCATTCATTTAGTTTCTGTTTGGAATGAATTGTTTCAAACAGAGTTGTTTAGAAGGTAGTCATGAAGCTAGCCGTATATAAACACTTTTCAAAGCTTCTATCTAGGGTAAGAGCATATAAGAGGCAGAGATAAGGAAAAAATTTCAAGATTTAGACAAATGAGAAGAGAATTCTTAGAGTGGTGTTTAAAAATAAATAAAATTGGGTAAATCAGTAGTGTTAATGAAAGGAATAGGAGGGTAGAGACTCCTCATAGAAATCCACGCCCACCTTATCAAAAAAACACCCCCGCCCCCCCCACTATTTTGTATTATTCTGATTAGTAGCCACTATTAATATTGGCTATGAGCATAATAGTACACAACAAGTGTTTAGTACACAAAAGATGGTAATAGTTAGAGAAAGTATCTGGGATTATATAGGTTGCTATTGGGTCATATAAAAAGGTATTGTGTTGAAAAATTTATATTAGACAAGACCCAAGCATACCGCAAAAAAAATCCCCAGTCAGATACCTTAGCAACATTATAACAGAAGCCTGATATATGATGCTCCCCCAGCCGGTTCCAACGACTATCCCTCAGTTCGTCCTAGTATCTAGCTAGCTGCTTCAAGGCAGCTCTGATAGGTGCTCACTGTCTCATCTATTGGCATAAAAAAGACAGATTAAAGGAGATACAAAAGAATGCATCCAAAATCTACCTGATGTCTAACTCACTGGTTCAAGGCAGCTCTAATATTATTTGCTGTCTCATATAATGCCGCCTAGTAAAGACAGGCTTTAGAGGAGCCAATACAACGAATAAGCGCCCCCCCCGCGGGGTACCCTAGAGTCTACCTAGCTGCTTCAAGGCAACTCTAGTGTAAGCTTACTACCTCCTCAATTACAACATAGTCTGGCAAGCATACGAAGGAGACCCTAGTTAAAAATATAGTGTCCTACCCAACGCGTGTTTCAGCTCTACAAGGCGCCTTTGTCAAGGGTAATCCCACCAGGTTGAGCTTGCCGGCTATTTAAAAGTGTAAACTCCGCCCCTCTAGTGACGTGATGAGGCTAATCATATATTGACACATCACCGGAGGAGTGGTTAGGGTCCATACGGCAGTACACACCCCTTTGACTACGGAGTGTGCTGCCCGTGGAGTTAACTCCTGCAGGGGAGATGGAATACAGCCTAAATTAACCCATAGATGTATGGACATTGAGGCAAGATAATATATCATTTTGACATAAATGGAGATAAACCCTCAGTGTGGGGGCTCCAACGAATATGATTCTCACATACTTTCATATGTCAAAATGATTACCATGTATAAAGGATAAGGCATCCATTCTTGCTCATTCCTAAGGGGGAGACAGTACAATACAAATCAAAACTAACCCCTAAATGTGAGGACTTACAACCCATGATGTGGGACCCAAAATCAATCTATATGTTTTTTATACATTCCATAAAGTCAAAAGTTGGACCAAAGCTCAATTTGTTTAACACAAAAAAAGGGGGGATATTGATGTTTCAATCATATATAGTCTCTAGGTCACAACTAGTAGCTTCATTAAAAAATTAAGGAAGCTGAAGTGTGTATAGACTAGGTAATATGCTTAGAGAGAACCAAGGTTCTTTTAACCTCAAATACCTTTTATACACCACAACTTCATAGCTAATAAATCCAGAGACCGAAAGGAGCCCAGTATACTTAGATATAAACAAATGACACTTCAATACTCCTAAAATGGCAAGGATCTTTAAATCAATTATTAGTGATGTCCCGAACCGTTCGCTGGCGAATAGTTCCTGGCGAACATCGCTTGTTCACGTTCGCCACAGATGGCGAACATATGCGCTGTTCGGTCCGCCCCCTATTCGTCATCATTGAGTAAACTTTGACCCTGTACCTCACAGTCAGCAGACACATTCCAGCCAATCAGCAGCAGACCTTCCCTCCCAGACCCTCCCACCTCCTGGACAGCATCCATTTTACATTCATTGTGAAGCTGCATTCTTAGTGAGAGGAGGGACAGTGTAGCTGCTGCTGATTTGATTAGGGAAATTGATAGCTAGGCTAGTGTATTCAGTGTCCACTACAGTCCTGAAGGACTCATCTGATCTCTCTGAACTCACTACCCCCCACACCTCAGCCTCACTACCCCCACACCACTCCCAGCCTCACTACCCCCACACCACCCT